TTTTCAAGATTGCAAATCAGGAGACATTTAACAAAGTTTGGGATGTGTTGAAGCTGGAATACAAAGGCGATTATCAGGTCATGGCAATGAAATTACAAGGTATTCGTCTTGATTTTGAGAATGCTAGAATGAGTAATGGTGAATCTCTGTTTGATTATTTGACTAGATTGTTTGCTTTGGTGAGTCAAATGAAAATGCACAGAAAGGATTTGTTAAATAAAATTACGGTAGAGAAGCTGTACATTAGCCTAACTCTTACTTATGTTACTATTGTATCTTTTATTGAGGGTACAAAGAAAATCAGTGAGATTGAACCAACTGAGTCTACAACAACACCTAAAGCTTTTGAGTAAAGATGAATGAGACATGTTGAAGATGGAGAGGTGAATGAAAGAGAATTTAGTAGCCTAAGTATTCAGCCAAAGGAGAACTCACAAGTTGTTGGTTATAAAGGCAAGAAGCCTTGGAAGAATAAGTAGAAGAAACACTATGTGAAACAAAGTGAGAAGCCAAATGTGATTGTAAAGAACAATGGTAGCAAAGGAGATTGCAAGATTTGTGCCAATTTACATTTTGGTGAATGCTGGTTTAAATCCAAAGTGTCACAAATGTGATAAGTTTGGGCATATTGCCAAAGATTGTAGGAGTAAAATGGTCAAACTGGTTCATTATGTCAAGGAGGGGGAAAAGGCACTAGTATGTTCTTTGCTTGTGATTCCACAACAACTGTCAAGAATGAACATGTCTGGTCTATAGATAATGGATCCAGGAATCACATGACTTTACATGAGTCAATGTTGATTGATGAAGACAGAAATGTGACTACATGACTTTTTTTTTTAAACAACCGATATTATCTATACACTAAGGGGAATGGGGTGTGCTTATCTTCACAATGGGCTAACAATAATGAGGTTAAAATTCACCTTTGGCAAGAATCAAATCTAAGACCTCTAACTTACAAGTAAGGTTCTAAAAAATGCTAGGCTCTAGTTGGGTGGCGGGCTGGAGCCTAGCGGCTAGGCGGACTAGGTGGATTTAAGTAAGTCTATTATGTTTCGTGTAAATAAGTGTCCTGTTTGCACTTATATATATATATATATATATATATATATATATAATTTCATCTTAAACTACAAAATAGAATGACATATAATTATGAAGTATTGGAGCATAATGAAAACATGGGGAACAAACATGTGATGTGTGTTCATTTAACTATTCAACTAGTCTCTTCCAATTTATTGAAAAAAGTAAAATACAAAATGAAAGTTATCTATTTTCTGTTTAAGTAGTCGCAACCTAAGCGGGTGCCTAGGCAAGTCTGGACGGGTTAGTCGGGTGCCTAGGTAGTCTAGGTAGGTGCCTTATCAGGTCTAGGCACCCTTTCTTAATTTTCAAATGCCTAGGCATTAATCGGGGCGGTGGCCAGCAGCCTAGTGCCTAGGCGGCGCTAGGCGGCGCTAGGCGGCGATTTTAGGAACAATGCTTAAAAGTGAAGAGAAATACCACTAGAATGTAGTACTAAGTGGCACTGCATGACTTAAGATGGGAAACATACAGATAGTACAAGCTATAGCAAAAGGAACCTTGGTGATTGAAACCAAAAATAGTACAAGGCATATCAAAGAGGTTATGCTTGTTCTTGATTTAGGTAAAAACTTGCTAAGTGTAGGCCAAATGCTAGATCATGAATATTTCTTATTGTTTAGATATGATAAAGTTGAAATATTTAAAGATAGAAGCCTTGAAAGACATGTGGTTGCAGTACAAATGACGGGAAACATATGTTTTCCTCTCATAATGAAAGATATAATGCCATCTGCATTGAAGCAATAGCTGAAGAAGACTCTTGAGAGTGGCACAAAAGATTTGGTCACTTGAATTTTCAGAGTTTACATATGTTGGCTGATAAGGAAATGGTATTATGCCTGTCTAAATTGAAGAAATCAAATGTTGTCTCTGAAGGATGCATTGTAGGAAAACATCACTGAGAGACATTCAATAAAGAGATGACTTGGAGAGCAAATAAGCCATTGGAGTTGATACACTCTGATGTATGTAGTCCTATGCAGGTCGCTACACTTGGTGGAAATAAACACTTTCTGATATTTATTGATGACCATACCAGAATATGCTGACTATATTTCTTGAAGCCTAAGGCAGGCGTATTATGTGTATTTAAAAGATTTAAAGCTATGGTTCAGCTTGAAAGTGGTTATCAAATTCAAAAATCGAGACATGACTGAGGAGGAGAATATACTTCTCTAGAGTTTCAAAGCTTTTATGATGATCTAGGCGTTGAAAGGCAATTGACAGTGGCGTATTCCCATAAACAAAATGGTGTTGCTGAGAGGAAGAACATGACCATTATTGAAATGGCTAAAGGCATGTTACTTGATAAGAATCTACCTTATGATTTTTGGGGAGAAGCTTCTGACAATGCAATATATCTTCTAAATAGATGTCACCTAAAGCTTTGCAGGACAAGAATCCATTTGATGCATTTAGTGGTAGAAAGCCAAGAACAAGACATCTCAGAGTGTTTGGCTGCATTTGTTACAATCATGTTCCTGGACAACTAAGATAAAACTAGATAAAACTTCTATGAAAGAGATCTCTGTTGGTTATGCAAAGTTGTGAAGGGTTACAGAGTTTGTAACTTAGCAATCAAGAAGGTTTTTGTGTCAAACGGTGTTATATTTGATGAAGAAGGTGTATGGGACTAGAAAGCTGAAAATGCAATTGCCATGACATTTTCAATGAATTTGAACCTGAATGAGAAGGAACAAAAATAATCCCATGAAGAAGGTGTATGGTCGGTCACCTTTCTATAAATATCCCACGCATCCCACTAAAATGCTAAGCCATTTGCTGCCCAAAAACTCCTAAAAATATATTCTTTTAAGAATAATAACTTTGGTATCAAAGATTCTTCGACCAAAGCCCTGCCGTTCATCGTGGGCGCGTGAAACTTTTGGTCTTAATTGAAGGTGTTATAATTTTGCAGGTGCATTTTTGTCAAATTAACATACAATGGAAATTTGCATCCACAATAGTATAATCAAGCGCATCATCGCATAATGATTCCTATTACACCAATTCCAATTTATCAAAACCAAAATTGAATAACAACGCATACAATAACCGAAATCCAGAGTGAATATGCTAGCAATATAGTTTTCCTGCTACTAATTTCTAGAAAGGTATAGGACTATAAATTCGTATTACCTCTTCGAAACGCATGAATTGAAAGTAACGTCCTGCATGTCACAGTCATACCACAGGGTGTGCTCTAATTTGTGGAGTTTAAAAGAGGGAAACTGGTGAAGACTGAAGAGGTATAATTCATTTATTTTTAATTAAACACCTAAATGGCGTTGTTTTGTTGGTTTTCCAGGGAATAAAAAAGAAACGTCGAGCGCAGCAGCAACAAAGTTAGGTGCTAGTTGGACATCTGATTGGGCACTAGTGCCTAGGTGAGGCATAGGCGGACTAGACAAATTTAAGTAAATTATTATATATTATATAAATAAGCGTCTAATTACAATGAAAAAATTATACTTAAATTAGGAGTTCGGGTTTATTTAACATACAACATATAAAAGTATTAGAATTTTTACTTTAATTAGTGTCTTAGTAATTTGATGGTATGAGATGAAAATTCAAGTGATTACTAGTCTGTAGTGCTTTACGAAATATTTTTGAGAAGTCTTATGAAAATTATTATAAATTTTAAAAGAATTAATAGTGTTAAACATGTGAATAAGGGCTAATTTGCTATTATTGTGCTTTGAAAAAAAAATGTGTGTTTGCTTTACCTTTTTGATAAAAGTGCTTTTAATAAATAAAAATAATATCTGAGTGTTTTGGTAAACTTTTGTTTAAATTATTATAAATATGTTAAATGACTAAACATGATATGATATTTAATGTGAGATAATAATTGTCAAAGAGAATTATGTAAGAACAATGATTGTAATTTTTTAAAATATATGGGAATGCATATGTTATTTGAAAACTTTATTAAATAGACATTGATTACTATATTTTGAAAAAAAAAAGACATTGCTTTTAGAAACTTGGTAGCCTTTTCCTTTCTATACTTTTTTACCATCATTGCCAACAGATTTTTTATAAAAAATATTTCTTTTTAGTTTTGTTAAACACATTTAATATTTTAAATTTTTTAATAAGCTATATATATTTTTTTTAAAAACATCACAATTCCAGACGAGAGCTAAAAAGCATAGGCTGAGTGATGTAGACATGCAAGTGGTAAACTGATGTAATATATCTGGCGCCACACCTCCCGATTATTTTGTCGGCATATATGTATCACCTCCCAATTCATAAGGCCTTTAGTGAATAGTATTGAAGGTGGCAGAAGCTCATAGGATGACAACTAAAGAAGAAAAAAATGTTACTTTGCCACGAGGGAGAGAGAAAATGAGTCTCTCTGCATCATCTTCTTCGTTGGGACAAGGAGGCTCCTCCTCCTTCAGCAAACCAGACCCCATTTCCGATAGAACCAGAGGTGTGGCAGCACAGAAAATCAAAGTCCTGGGCTTCTTTTCCGGCTAGAAGAGGGGCGGCCGTCCTCTTTGCGCCATAATAGGTTCGCCCTTGATAACAGAACGCATTCAATATTAAAACTCTAACAAGAAGAAAAAGATCAGGATTTAATTCAAAGATTAAATTCTTCAACCTTATCGGTTATGTACTTACGTAAAGAATTCGGGTCAAAAATTTCTACTTTTTTATTGGGTCAAATAATTTTCTACTCTTTGAACAAGTCTCTGTAGCTGGAGCCTGGCGCATACCAAAAATTTCATCACTGACCGTGACCTGGTCTTTAAACTGCAGACCATGACCTGGTCTTTAAACTAGGACTTCAAAATTCAATTTGTTTACGAATTTTAACCCTTTACTATTCTCATGAGCAAGTACGTGGACACCATATCCCTTCCTCCCTTCCTCTATATAAACCCCATGCAATATTCCAGGCAGAGACAACTTAATTATCTCGATCGATATCAAAATTCCCAAGTTATGGCAATGAAATATTCAAGATCTTTGCTCTTTGGTGTGCTGCTACTCATTGGCTTTGCATTGACAAATAGCAAAGCTGCTAATACGGATCCACCTGTGCATTGCGAATTTCTCAATCGCAACAGTTTTGAACCAGGGTTCATATTTGGCACAGGTTCTGCATCTTACCAGGTCAATATATATATCTTCTGGGATTATTTACCATTTTATTGGTATATTTTATACATGCAGTTAGCATCCATGCATGAATTATAATGTTGACATCTTCCTTGCGTGTGTGGTAGTACACTTACGAATATGCATGTATGTATATTTCAGTATGAAGGTGCAGTAAAAGAAGATGGAAGAGGACCAAGCATATGGGACACCTACACCCACAAACATCCAGGTCTGTGATTTAATCAATTGGTAATATGAAAACTTTGGCTACTTCATTTCAAAGGAGTATAATTAGCACCTCATTCTTTTCTTCATGAGGACAAGTATACCTAAAAAACTCCAACCCCTCTGATAACCATGCACTTTGTTCGGAGACAAATAGTACGTGGTCATGTGATATGTGCAATATATGTATATACTTCATCAATACGCACGCACATAAAGTACTTTGCATATGATATGGATTTCACCATTATGTTTTTTATTAAGTGCAGAAAAAATCGCTGATGGCAGTAACGGAGATGTTGCTATTGATCAATATCACCGCTATAAGGTCTAGAATCTCATAACTTTAATCTCTTGACCGTTTATACTTGAAGGGCACATGTTAACATATTAAATTGGAGCCTTTATAAAAAGCACAATATAATGAGATCCTCAATATTTCATTTTAAACTTTTTTCTTATTATGATATATATCCTTTTGTCATTCTAGGAAGATGTGGGGATTATGAAGGATATGGAGTTGGATGCGTACCGATTCTCTATTTCATGGTCCAGATTATTACCAAGTAAGTTGCTCCGCATCCTCATATTTGGTTGGGACCAATGTCAATATATATTGTGCATAAGAATTATTTGTCCTATGAGAAAATTATTCTCTTTATATACTTTTAACAAAATTAATGTGATCGAGTTATCTACTGTAGAACCCTTATTTTTCTTGTTATTTTTGTTCTAATTAGATGGAACGTTAAGTGGTGGCGTTAACAGAAAAGGAATTGATTATTACAACAATCTCATCGATGAACTCCTAGGCAATGGTTAATCATCCTACCTTAAACAATTATTACATGAATTTTTAGAACATCATTCAATCAGACTTTTAATTTGATTTTACTGATCATGTATATATAGGATTAAAGCCATTTGTGACACTCTTTCATGGGGATGTTCCCCAAGCTTTAGAAGATGAATATGGTGGTTTCTTAAGCCCTCGTATTGTGTAAGTGAACAAAATTTCTTCTCTCAGTGATAATTTGATAAAATACATACTGATATTCGTAACATAAATGTGTATCTGCAGCGATCATTTTAAAGACTATGTGGAACTTTGTTATAAGGAATTTGGTGATCGAGTCAAGCACTGGTTCACGGAAAATGAGCCATATACTTTTAGTTACATGGGTTATGCTGTTGGTACTGAAGTACCGGGACGCTGCTCTTCTTGGCAAAACCTAAACTGCACCGGTGGAGATTCAGCCATTGAACCATACTTGGTGGCACACCACCTTCTTCTTGCTCATGGAGCAGCTGTAGAATTGTACAAGAACAGATATCAGGTTCAATAGCTTTTGTTCTTTTTTTTGGGGTCAGATTATTGGCTCCTAATTGAGAATTCTATATGAATCATTATTATTGAGTTGTAATACAAGAGGGAATACTCTTTGTAGTGAGATAATCTAAAGGTTGTATCTTTTTCCATAGCTCCTATTTGTTCAACCAAAATTCATATTTTTGTGTAGGCAACTCAAAAAGGCTTGATAGGGATAACATTGGTGTCAGACTGGTTTGAGCCTGCTTCGGATTCAAAGCAAGATAAAGATGCTGCCTTACGATCTTTGGATTTTATGTTTGGATGGCAAGTGTCTTATTAGATTATATATCAACCCAATTACATGTTTACTTATGAATTGAAACATTGATACTACCTAGCCAGCAGTACTCTTTATATATAATAATATAATTAGGCTAATATCCGGAATTGTCATGTTTTGTAGGTTTTTGGACCCATTAACAAGTGGTGACTATCCACACACCATGCGATCAATTGTTGGGAAAAGATTGCCCAAATTCACAAAAGAACAATCCAAGTTGCTAAACGGATCATTTGATTTTCTTGGAATAAATTATTATACTGCTAGATACACAAGTAGTGCAACCAAGAACAATTCACTACCGGCAAGCTACGTAACAGATTCTCGAGCTGATCTTACAAGTGAGTGCAAAAGGAAACTTAGTTTGAATAGCTTAAGTTCTTTGTACTTCTTTGTCTAGTTTAACTTCTTAATTACTTTAATTATATTCTAATATTTACACCAATTGTATTCTAATGTTTGTAAATATTGTGGCAGCTGAGCTTAATGGAGTACTCATTGGTCCACAGGTAAATATCAAATTTATCATTTTGAGCTATTTGCATTTGGAGGAGTAGTTTTTTTTCCCCAACATTTACGTATTATCTTCAAATGGTGTTGCAGGCTGCTTCAGATTGGTTATATGTATATCCAAAAGGAATTCACGATCTTGTGCTTTACACAAAGGAAAAATATAATGATCCACTCATTTATATTACTGAGAATGGTATGTAATACAAACTTTTAAGCCTTGATTAATTGCAAAAGTTTCACATATTTATAGTGGTGTAAAATGAAACTACACGTTTTCTTATAGTTTTAGAGGAAGAAACTAAATTTAATTTTTTTGTGTAATAATATGTACATAGGTGTATCAGAGTTGAATAATCCAGAACTATCACTTGAAGAGGCCCTTCATGATACCAGTAGAATTGACTACTACTATCATCACCTGTGTTACCTTCAAGCGGCGATCAAGTAAGTAGTGATTAACAAAATGATTAAGGCTATATACTGCCTAGCCTTCTTATGTTATGGTTATTTAATCATTATATTGACCTAACCCATTTGAACATTTGTGCGTGTGTGTGTAGAAATGGGGCGAAAGTGAAGGGATACTTTGCATGGACATTGTTAGACAACTTTGAATGGACTTCTGGATACACTGTCCGATTTGGTTTAAACTACGTGGATTATAAAGATGGGCTGAAAAGATACCAAAAACTCTCAGCACACTGGTTCAAAAATTTGCTTAAGAAGAATAAATTCAAAGAAAGCTACAGTTCATTATAAACATTTAAGTGGATAACTTTTTTTTATGTATTTACATTTCAATTCCTTATGCATTTGTATTTCCTTGCAATAATGTAAACATTATTTGAGATTCAATAATTCAATAAAAAGCTGTAAGTGTTGTGAATGCTACAATAAAACCTCTCTCTATAAACGAATAACTTATTTGTAGTCATAAAAAGTTTTGGTCCCTGTTTGGGTTTAGGAATAAATTTCACATTGTAATAAGTTATCATTTTAATAGGTCCTGTTGTAAGGAAACTCAGCTCGACATAGTAGTAATTGTTAATAGGGAACTTTAACGAAAAACACTCGGTGCTGTACACTCGGTGCTGTACACTTTAACAAAATACCACAATTGTAATAAGTCAATACTGGTACTATTCACTTTACCTTTTATTTTGTTGTTATCGTTAAAGCTCAAAGTTTTCATTTGTTGATAAGGACAATAATAAGCTACGCCACAAATAAAATTTTGTTGTGCTTTGAAAAACAAATGCTTCTGCTGCGTTTTGAGAATAAATAACTGTCAAATAAAGTGTTGAGTGCTTGCTTTACCTTTTTGATAAAAGTGCTTTTAATAAATAAAAATAATATCTGAGTGCTTGGTAAACTTTTATATAAATTGTTGTGAATATGTTAAATGACTAAACATGATATGATATTTAATGTGAGATAGTAATTATCAAAGAGAATTATGTAAGGACAATGATTGTAATTTTTTAAAATATATGGGAATGCACTTGTTATTTGAAAACTTTATTAAATAGACACCGATTACTCACTAGTAGAAAAAAGCCTATCTACCACGGTTAATGCCTGTGGTAAATTGCAATCCACCACGAATACTATGCCCGTTAGTATTCTGGATGTGATAAAAAGTCTCTGTTTCTACCACGAACTATGCCCGTTATCAAATGCAATATAACCACGGATTGTACCCGTGGTAAATTGGAATCTAACACCACGTGCTATGACCGTTGTCAATTACTAATTGACCACAGCCAATGCCAGTTATAAATTATTTTCCAAAATAAAAAAAAACTATTTAACAAATATATTTATATATTTGTATTGATACATTTTAGTACAGAATAACCAACAAAGTTCCATGTTTACTACAATATAATAACTACATAAAAAAAATCACAAATTCAAATATTACAAGTCGTACATTGTTGGCCCTCTTCCTTTTCTCTTTTTGCTTCATTCACATCATCACTTGAGTGCATCTCGTCACTGTCTAGCAAACCATCAAAATCTAGACACCTAAAAATTGAAACCAAATTCGTAGAGAGATTAACAAAGGAATGTTTCGTATCCTAAAAGAAAAAACGAATTTAGAGAGAGATTTTGCAGAGTAACCAAATGCAACTAGAAGACCACTCAATTCATAACAAATTTATACAGAAGCAAATAACCCAGTTTACAAATGCGTTCCAAAATGTCATAACTCTTTGAGATATTTCATCAAACACTTAGTGGTCATACTATACTTACCCCAAATTACTTGTAGCAAATTTGATAACCACTTTAGGTTCTCTCTCCTTCCTGCAAGAAAAAAGATGGTCATATGGGTAAGAAGGCTCACTAAAAACGAAGTGTCATTAGCGTGCAAATACAAGCCAACAGAAATTCCATGTATGTAGCTCCTTCATCACTCCTTCATATAGCTTTTTCATCACTGGTTCATCACCTGCAAGTTCAAATACTGGAAAACACATTGCTCTAAGATAAAACCCATGAGATCCTGAATCATGTAATACATTAAGTTGCATGTTGAACCTAGTTAAAGTGAGACTATGATTACACAACCAACAGAAATTCCTCTGATGGCAACCATGACTTGGCTAAAGAATGTGGCAATTGTCTGACAAAAAGATAACATTCCATCAAAGTCTTTTAAAGAATACAAGAAAAAAACTTTGAACAAGAAAGAGGCAAACAAGAATTTCAAAAATTGAAAAACATTTAATCAAAATTTTGGCTTATTTGTACCCCATTGCAGTTGGCCTTGTAACAACCTATAGAAAGCTACCTTATAAGCTTCCTTATATACAAAGTAAATCCCTAGATTCTAGAGTGATGACACAAATGGCATCAAACTTTAGCCTAGATTCCCTGTTCATCTCCACTCCAGTATAGAGTCAATGAAAAATATATATATATACACTGCTCATCGGCCAATGAAAAAGACGTTGTTCATGTATTTATGAGAAAAAAAAAATTCAACATTACCCATAACAAAAAATAAAAAAAAAAAACTATTTTACCCAAACAGAGACTTTGGAGGGTGGATCAGTAGATGCATAAGTGAAGGGCTACTGGAAGCTCAAGATTGAAGGCAGATACCTGTGAATCCAACACAAAATCATGATTAAAACAAAAGGAGAAGTATGGATGACAGATCGTGTGACAACCCGTCCCTAATTTTCCTATGTATTTCTCCCCGAGTATGTGTATTGATGATTATGCCTTATTGGCAAGTGACATGGACTTATTCTTATCGCTTTCCATTTTTATTTCTCGCTATCGTATTTAAATTGTACACGCTAGTACGAGTAGACATAGATTTTAAAGTGTAAAAATATCTATTTCGGATAGATTTCGATCTCCTTTTACATTAGGAAATCTAAAAATCTACCCCTTGGATTCCTTTTAAACCCATCCCGTGCACTCTCTGCATCACTCCACTTTCAGCTATTCCATCCCATCTTTTCTGTATGTTCTGTCCCCCCCTCTATCAGAAAAAGCAAAGAAAATTTGAAAACCTCTCTCTTCTTCCTCTCTCTCCCGTGAGCTCTCTCTCCCTCTACAACTCGATGAGCGAGCTCCAAAGCTCATAGATCGAACAAACAAACTACATCATCATGCTCATCTCAGCCCCACGATCATGACCATACCCCTGGTTCGCATGTTGATCGAGTTTTGAATGTCCAACTCGGAAGGTCCGACTCGGCGAGTTCGATACTACGGTTTTCAAGCCATGCATGGCTAAGGTAAGCCTTGAGAAACCCTTAGAACCTTCATTTCACTTCTATGGGTTGTTATTGATCCTTTTTTTGTGTTTTGAACGTGTGGTTTTACCCAGAAACGCGAGAAGAAGGAGAACCTGAAGTTTTTCGTACAAGAACCGTGGCCATTTAGTCACTTTCAAACCATTTTTCTGGTCAACCTCGACCACAACTGGACTTCTTCTAGGTACAAACTTGTTCTCTACATTCCTAACTTCAAAATGGCTTTTGAATCACTGAGTTTGGTTAAGTAACGAGTTAGAAATCAACTCTAGAAGTTAGGAAGAAAATTTTAGTTTTTTGGAAAATTTCAGCAGTGGTCGTTTGGCCACATTCAGACCAAGTTTCTGAACAACACGAACTATATTCTAACTTTCTGTAAATTGGGATCGGTAGATCGCATTCCTAGCTTTAATTTGGCTTTTGTAGAAGTGAATTTGGTTGAGAATCGAGCTTGTTATAGGCTCTGGAAGATTTTCACGAAGAAGGTGAGTACAATGTACTCGTGGGGGTGCGTGGGCGCGCGTGGACTGAACCTTTAGGCGGCGCGTGGGGGCGCGTTCGGGGTTCGGCCGGCGCGTGGTTGGTACATGCACGTTCGTGTCGTCGAGTAGATCGATTTCACATATTTACACCCTAGGTTTGAGCTAACTATGGGCATTTTATTTAGTTTTCTGTTATGTGCTTAATTAATGTTATTTAGTTATTTCACATATAGGGGAAACTTATTCCGAGGATTTTCGAGGCCAAGCTAGGCTCGGGGGACCCAACGACATACTTGTGAGTGGGCAGTTGTTTTATACCTATATATATTTATAGTTTCCATAAATACGTATTTACTTCACTTTTACGCCTATATTGCATATTATCATTATTGTGATATAAATTGTGATAAATGCCGCTATATGGTTGTGATATTACTGTCATGACATTCATACATACTTGTGTACATGCTCATCTTGATGCACCTGGTGTTAGTATTCGCCCCAGGGCCAGGGCTAGGGCCAGGCCAGTTCTTCACGTGTATGTTCACATCTGCACCATTCGCTTACCTTGGATCAAAGTTTAGGTGCCAGTCTTGTCAGGTAGATTGCATTAGGCGATCCGACTTGTATGTGATGTGTTTTTGCACCAGTTTTCACGTGATCGTAATACTAGAGCATATTGATTACACCCAGTCCTGTTCGTGTCAGAAACCATCTGTTTGAATTTGTGTGTCAGCTTAGAGGGATGAGCACTTAGTTATATTGATTATCACATGATTATTATTGTGGCATATGATACATCATTTACTTGGCATATTTCTGGTTATATGGCTGATATATTGGATTTCATACTTACGTAGTATGTTTTGAGGAAACTATACTTGTTTTACAGCGAGGGGTTACTATATTCAAAGATAAATGTTTTCTTATAAGCATTGTTTTGCTGACCCGCTCAACTTTAATTTTCGCCCCTCTCGGACCTAGATAGCTGTACTCTCTGTGGCACTCGAGGAATCACGACAGTTCTGACATTTCCTTATGTTTAGATGTACGAACTTATCACTACTATGTAATAAGTGTACTTTGGTTGCCTTAACTACTCTTTCGTAGTCTCACTGTCTATTACACTCTGAATAATTGTAGTGGGTTCAACCCACGAATTGCGCACTCTTTCACTGTTTAGTTCTAATTAGTTTAAATTTTATTCACTTTTTGCATTACTTACCCTTATGGTTACGTCACCTCACGGTGACGGCAGCATGCTTCGACCTTTCCAGGTCGGGATGTGTTAGCTTGGTATTAGAGCATAGGTTTAGACAGTCCTGCACTTCCTAGTGTGTTTTAACGCTTGTTTTCTTATGTCAGAACCATGCCACCTCGTAGAGAGCCACGTTCTCCAGCGGAGAATAACTTTCCAGACTTTGGGCAATTTGGTGAGGCTATCGCCGCTACTATTCAGTCTTCACTCCGTCCTACCCCGAGGAATACTCTGGATATTGTATCCCGCGTGAAGATTAATGATTTCTATGGTAATGAGGGACCGTAGAAGTCAGAGATATGGTTCGATCATGTGGAGAAGACTTTTCTAGTTATGCACATGCAGGGTAATCTTTCCCTAGAGAGATGGGTCGAGACCGCGAC